ATAGATAGATAGATAGATAGATAGATAGATAGATAGATAGATAGATAGATAGATAGATAGATAGATAAATAGATAGATAGTTATTTAGATAGATAGATAGATAGATAGATAGATAGATAGATAGATAGATAGATAGATAGATAGAGTTAGTTAGATAGTTATTTAGATAGATAGATAGATAGATAGATAGATAGATAGATAGATAGATAGATAGATAAATAGATAGATAGATAGATAGATATAGAGGGAGAGAGAATGTGTGAGAGAGTGAATAGAGCGGCCTGCATATTAAGATGATAAGAAATCAACAGCAAGTGACGTAAAAGGAGATAATACAAATTCCAAGATGCTCAATTGTTACCAAAAAAAAGGAGCTATCCAGTATCTGATTCTCTACAGCTATTCCTCCAAACAACCTTAGCAGTGCAAGTTATGTACATGGCAGGAAAAATATTGCTTCACACTCAATCCGGAGGGGGAGGGGGAGAAACAAAGGGGCGAGGTGGGGAGGGGAGCGACTAGCCGGTCAAGAAAGCGACATGCAGAGATGGGACCTCGGAGATACACGAGGAAGCATTCCTAGGGTGAAAAAGGAGACCCAGAAAGCCTTCGGCTGGCGCTCTTCGTCTACTAGATTTGTTAGCGTCGTGCCAGGGCGGGTGACATTTCAGAGCCGCTTCTCGGGATGTGCACGCAGCCCTGGTGGCAGCTCGGGAGCTCACTGCGCAGACAGACAGACTTCACTGTCCCGGACTGAAAGCAAGGGGGGGGGGGGGGGGAACCGCCGCCCCCACCCCGCCAAAATAAAACCCCGACTGGCACGAGACCGGGAAGAGAGAGAGAGAGAGAGAGACGAGTCACAAAGCCATCAGTGAGTCTTCCCAGGTGGGAGTGTGCAGGTGTCTTGACACGCCCACCGGACAGAAGCCGGGAAAGAACGGCTTCTCCTTGGCTTTAAAAGAGTTCTTTTGTGCCTGAATGGCCACAAAGAAAGACGACAACAACACTTCCTTGAGGGTCCCTCAAGCAACCATCCTTCCCCCCCCCCCCGTTCCTCTAAACGAGGCACACACAGACACACACACACACACACACACACGAGAACACTTCCTGGCTCGTGGTGGCATTTCAAAGACACCCCTTACCCCGCATCCCCCCCCCCCCCCCCCCCGCACTACATTCACCACCAGTCACGGGGAAGGGGAGGTTAGCCCTCTTTGAGAAGGGTTGGGGGGGGGGGGAAGAGGGGTCGGGGGGGGGAGGGCGAGGAAGGAGCAGTGCGCACGTGTCTCCCGCTGAAGGGCAGGGCCTTGAGGAGAAGGGCAGGCAGCGGCCGAGGGAGGGTCACAGGTTCTGGCAGCACTGGAGTTTATTGGATTTCTGTCCGTCGGTGGTGGGAGGCACGCTGATGTCCACCACGTTGTTTCCCGGAGACTCGTCGTGGGCGGACCGGTCCGCGATCTGCTTCTGGGACACGATGCGATAAATCTCTGCAAAGGAGACCAGAGGGTGGTTCTGATTGAGCCTGCATTTCTTGTGCCGACCCCACCCCGCCCCCCCCCAAATAAGCAACTGGTGGAGCGATGCCACGGTGAAGCCGAAGAAGCGAAACGCCTTCAAAGCAAACCCAGGAAGTCCAGCTGCCTCTTGGAGGGGGGCGGGGGGAGAGGGGAGGGGGACACCTTTGGGACAACTGCAACCTGGATGACGGAGAATCTCCACAGACACACCGTAGTGAAGGTGATCCACCCCACAACATTGTAGGCTGGGACAACACGTGTGATGACCCAAAGGGGCATGCCACAAAGGCAACACAGTCAAGATAATCAAGAAGAGTCCCTTTATTAGCTCCAACTTTGCCCCCCAATGTCCTGGATACTTTCTGGCTGGAGAAAAAACTCTCCCAGGAACAGTCTTTGACTGCAGAGAATTCAGTCCAAAACATGGTCGACACAAACCGTAACTAAAAATCTACACAAACTTAACTTGACAGGGCAACAGAAGGAATTGCAGATTGAAAGGCCAGCAAAACTCACACAGTTGGGAAGACGCCAAGAACCCAGATAAGCAACGACAATACCAGATAATTCACAATTTGCTCCCAACAACTTGCTGTGCGCAGCTTCCCTTTTTAAACACTGTGTTCCCAGCTGCAGCTAATGAAGGGAATCAGGGCCCTTTCCTCCCCCGTAAGCCATGCAACTCATGTTGCTCCCTTCTCCGTTCCTCCTTGCGTGCCCTGGGATGAAGAGGGGGTGGGCCTTAGTCTTCCTCTAAACTCCCTCTCCCTTATTCTACCTCTCCACTCCTCTGCCCAGCCGGACTTTGTCCTTCCCCAGTTTCTTTCACAGCCAACGGAGCCACACTCTGACTCCTTGTCAGCAGCTCGGCCTCCCCCTCTGAATCAGATTCCGACAGGGGCATGACAATACGATCCCGGGTTACGGGGAAAGAACGGCTGGATCCTGCATGTTGCAAGGTTGAGTCTCTCTCCGCTCAGCATTTGCTGTGACCCAGGATGCAACCTCCTTTGTTGGTTTGGGAATTCCCACCAGCCAGCAGACACACTTGCCCTAGATCAGGGGCGTGAAACTGGCGGCCTGCAGGCCGGATGCCTCATGTGCGGGCCAGGCCCACCCCAGCTGCGCGAATGGGAAAAACGTTGCGAAACATCACGTGACAGCCACGTGTTTGACACATGCCCTAGATCTAGCTCTCGTAGATAATCCTGTGGATAGCCAGGTGCCAAGCCACAAAGGATCTTAGGGGTTTAAAAAAAAAAAGACAAGCTCCTCAAATTGCACATGGAAAGCTGCTGTGCAAATTGTCTGTAGAGATTCTCTCTCCTCCAAATCATGGCTGTCCCAAAGGCGCTTTTTTTTTTTTTTTTCAGGAGGCAACTGGATTTTCTGGTTTTTTTTCTTTCAAAGACGTTTTGCTTCTCATCCAAGAAGCTTCCTCGGCTCTGACTGGATGGTGGGTAATGGAAGGATTTATACCCCTTGCAGACAGCTGGTAAATTACTGCAAGGAATATAAATCCTTCCACTGCCCACTGTCCAGTCAGAACTGAAGCTTCTTGGATGAGAAGCAAAACATCTTCGAAAGGAAATAAAAAACCCAGAAAGTCCAGTTTGCCTCCTGACAAAAAAAGGTACTTTTGGGACTGATGTGCAAATTGCTCTCAGCAGCCAGGTAGGTGGTTTCTACGATTCCTGGTAGGAAATTACAAAGCCTCCCGGATGGCAGCCCACTCAGGCAAGAAAGGAGGAGCAGCGAGCCCACTTCACCTCCCTTATCCCCACCAAAGGTCTCACCCCAAAGGTGGACACTGCCCCGTGCTCAGGTTGACTTGTCTTTCCGCTTCAGCACCCCAAATGTCCATGCAGAGTCAGAGAGTCAGACATTGAATAGCTTCTCATCGTCATTGCTGGCACTTGTATGTCACAAAGAGGACCTCACGGGGTTGGCCCCTAGCAAGAGACCTACTGAACTCCGGAGCTGCCCCTGGAAAAACCCGGGGGAATTTCCCAAACATCCTTTGGGAACCGCTGGCCCGTTGCTGCATTCTGGACCAGCTGTGGCTTCCAAGGGGTCTCCGAGGGCAGCCCCACGTACCGGGCATTGTGACAGTCCGCATGCACATGGCAACTAAAGCTATGAAGGAGGGCAAGAAGATGCTCTAAGCAGGAAGACCCCGGACTGCCAAAAAAACAACAACCCAGGGTTAGGTTCACGGGTGCGAAGGTATCGCGCTCCCGTTGGAGGCCTGGCTCTGCGCAGGAAGACGCCTGGGAATTGGAGCACAGAGAGAGATGAGAGGGGCAGCTTCACTGCTTCAGAGGAAGATGGGCAGGAGCAGGCCCAGTCAGGATTGGGACGGCTCACAGGCAGGGAGGAAGGGGAGCAGGATGACCAGGAGAGGCTAAGCAACACAGGCTGACCCGGCTACTCGGGAGGAGAGCACCCCGCCCCCGTCCACAAAGCACACCTGGGAACTGAGGCTTAAGGAGAAGCTGGAGGGAGGGGCATTTGTTGGGAACAAATGCTGAATTCCTGGAGGGTGGAATTTTCCTGGATTCCTTGCTTTGCAGCCGTGGTGCTCACAGCGTTGGGCTGGACTATTTTCAGCCAGAGGCTGCTTGAGCTTTGAGTGTGTGTGTCCTCACTTTGCTCCGGGACTTGCCAGAAACGTGAGAGCGTTGGGGGAAATTTGGAACAAGAAAAGGGGTGGCCTGAACGGCCATCTGCCTGTGTTTACCTCTGTGCCGTGCCCCGGATCGTCACATAAGGTGGCCACCCAGTCCTAAGCGACCAGACTGGATGCCACGCTGAGGGCAGGTGGAAGCCTTCAAGGATGATGGGCCTTGGGGAATCGCGCCGCCAACCACAGCAACGATGGCGTCAGGTGGCGTAAGCAGGGATGTTGCCGCAGAACAAAGCTCTTGGCTCCCTGGAGTCCACGGCTTCAACCGCAGGATCTCAAAGGTGTTTCATCTCCAGCGCAGGTGTCTCTGAAAGCCATTCAGGCTTCTTGGATACTGACCGGCACCCTGCTTTCCCGGCCTGGGCTTGGCGCTCCAAAGGGGAGTTTCCTTCTGAGGGGGGCAGCACCACCATCTGGGCCCGCCCAACAAAAGGTGGGAGCCAGGGGCCCCAAGCATCTGGTTACCGGGGATTAAAGCCGGGGAGCAGGAGGATGGAACTGGTTTCAGATACTGATTCTACTTTCCTGTGAGTGGTTCCCACATCTGCTTCAACAGCTGCATATAGACAGAAAGCAGCAGTAACCCAGGGCACCGCTCTCCCCCTACTCCAGGGGCAGGCAATTAATTTCCCCGAGAAACTGGGGGGCTGTTATGGAAGGTCCCTAACATCGCCAGCTCTCTGCCCCCCACAACAGGTGCCACTTAAATCACAATTACGTGACCACGGGGATACTGCGTGGCCATAAGAACAAGGACCAGTTATAAGTCACTTTTTAAAACGTTGTCCTGGAGCCTGGGAAGGCTCTGGTGAGAGCTCTATGTCGGAGGTAGAGATGGGGCCAGGGCTGTCTGAAAGTGGTCGGCTGCCTTCGGAGTCCGCCATCAGTGAGGCAGAAGAGCAGCTGGAGCCTGTTCCCAGTGTGCGCATGTGCAGAGTTGCCAGGAGAAGGGAACAGCTGAGGAACAAGGGCCAACTTAGGAGTAAAGCCACAGGTGGATGGTGAATGACCCCCTCCCCCCTATAGGATAAAAGAGGAGCGGAAGGGGAGTGGGACTTTGCAGGAGACAAATCAGTTCCTTCCGGCATGCTTGCCAAATATTGCGGCGTCTGAAAGATATCGGCCTGGCACTTCTCCAAGCCTGAAAAGGTCAGTAATGGGGAACTACCTTGAAGACTATTGCCCGGGACTTGGTTGGGAGAGGAAATTCATGGTAAGTTAAATAAAAAGGGTTTATCGGGGTGAGGACTCGGCTTCATGCTTGTTGGGGAAGCTTAGGCCAGAACAACCCGGAGCTGATCCTAAACGTTTGCGTGAATCCTATTTTATCCGATGAGAGAAAATTGTAAACAAGATATGATAGGCTAAACTTGGCAAGAAGTACACTCTAGGCGTGGATGAAATTCAAGTTCGATCGGGCAGCTCCTTCTTGAAAAAGGCTTCAGTCCAACAAGCCCACCCTACAAACAGCCATTCAATTCCTTCCTTGTCGATCGACTGGGTGTTTGCCAGATGGAGATGAACGATATAAAATCATTAAATTCAAACTCTGGTACCCGTGGGACCGCGGCCGTACCTGAAGAGCAGAGTTTAGGTTCCTTTACCTGTAAGGATGTTCTTGAAGGCTTCTTCTACATTTGTTGAGTCGAGTGCTGAAGTTTCAATGAACGAGAGATTGTTTTTTTCTGCAAGGTGAAGAGTGAAAAATATCATTTCAATCTTCTTGGCTACTTTGTGCACAGAGGAGCACTCAGAGTTGGGAAGGCCGATTTAATGTTTCACAGGATTTTCCCCTAAAAGATTAGTTAACTGAGTGGAAAAAGGAATACTGGTCTGGATTATACATAACCAATATGACCAGTTGGAGTTAGCATCTGGTCCAATGCCTCTCTCCCAATCCAGGAGAGGATCAGACCATTCTATTCCTTCAGTTTTAAATGAAGAAGAATTGCTATGGCATCCAAAATTGATATTTGTAACTAGCTTTAACTATGAACAACAAAACAAAGTTTCATCCTGTTTTCAAACTGACTTAGATTTGCTAACTAAAGCAAAGAAGAATCAAAGTTTAGTTCAAGTCAAACTGCAACAGGAGAAGCACATTTATTTATTTAACACGGCTGCCCAACTCACACACAAGCGACTCCAGGTGGCCTGTAATGTTTTCAAATCTTACCGCACAAAAATCCATAAAACCCACCCCCATTTTAGCCCATGGGGCTCAGTGCGATTTGACACAGTAACGCTCAATCAGCTTTCCACCCTCTGCCCCCGGACTCATAATGTAAACTACAATTATAGTAAGTCTCAACCACCAGGGCATAAAGATCGAGGTTGAACTTGAGGCAAGAGTGTCTAACTCTCTGTCCCACAGCGGCCATTGTAACTTTGAGAGATTGCAGAGTGTTTTATGCCACCTCCTGACGAGGATCAACACAAAAGCGTATTAATTCTAAGGTATATTTTATTTTTATGTACAGTGAGAGCCTATGCACCAAAGACAAATTCCTTGTGTGTCCAATCACCCTTGGCCAATAAAGAATTCTATTCTATTCAATATTCTGTTTATGCTCAAGAGAACAGGGGTGCCTTTGGCTTCTCCAACTTCCTGCTTAAGAGCCTCTTCTCATGATCACTCGTCGCTTAGCTGCCTTGTGCATGGGTACCGTTACGATGGCTTGTATGTGGGGCTGCCCTCCGAGACCTCTGGGAAGCTATAGCTGGTCCAGAATACAGCAATGGGCCAAAGGCTGCTTAGGGAATTCCCTGGTTTTCTAGGGGTAGCGTGGTGCAATGGCTCCTGAACAGTGGATGCCCTTGTTTCTGAGGGGTCTCTTGCCAGGGAGATATTCTTATTCTAGACTTTACTGAAGCAAATGCACTTTGGATGCTCCAGAATCCTTGCAATACTTCAGCAATTTGCACAAAGCTTTTGTATGGCATGCAAGGTGTGTGTGGGGGGGGTTTTCCTCCCTTCCAGAGATTCCAAAAATATCTCTCCCGTTTTTCGAGAGCAACCTGTCCTGCTTTGACATGACGTTGACAGGAGCAAGATTATTATAAAATGGAAGGACCCTTCGATTCCTACCCTGGACAAAGGATTGCAGAAGTTGATGGGAGTTGGCTGAAATGGCAAAAATTGACTTATTTTGATTAAGGAAAAGAATAGAACGACTTTTGTTTCCGCGTGGAGACCAGACCGCTTCTGAACTTTGTGCCTGATGTGGGAACTTTGATGTTGGGTTTTCCCGATTAGACTGACAGATCCCCACAGAAACGGCTTGTTCGTTTTATCATGGGAAAACAAAAAGTTGTGGTTTGATGTTAATGCCTTTATTTTACTGCAAAAGAGAGTCGGAAGCCAATCATTCTTTTCCTTTTTTCCAACCCTTCCTCGCTTTCCTATTTTTACTTTCCTATCTTGTATCTTATTTCCTCTTACAAAATCAATAAAAAAAATATGTTAAAGTTGCTAAACGCCTAAAGAAGTCAACGGGCCAAACCTGCGAAAGCCCGGGCCTCGTCCGTCGGTACCGCTCTCAGGTGACGCAAGTCGCTCTTGTTTCCCACCAACATGATGACAATGTTGTTGTCGGCGTGATCCCGCAGCTCCTTCAGCCAACGCTCCACGTTCTCGTACGTCAGGTGCTTGGCAATGTCGTAAACCAGAAGGGCCCCGACGGCGCCACGGTAGTAGCTGAAATTGTTTTTAAAGAGTTATTACGCAAAGTGAAAGCCAAACACTATCACACAACCTCTTGGCCACAGCGCAAGCTACCGAGAGGCCAAATTCACTAGCTCGTAAGAGGATGACCAGGTAAACCTCCGCTCACAACCCTTTTGTTTAGGGACGCTTCAAAGTTACAACGGCGCTGGCGGGAAAAAGCGACCTGTGACCAGTTTTCACACTTACGACCGCTGCAGCACCCGCAGGGTCCCGTGATCAAAATTTGAACGCTTGGAAAGTGGCATGGATTTATGAAAGTTCCCCTGGGGTGAGGCATTTGGTTTTTGTGACCTTCTGACACGCAAAATCCACGGGGGAAGTCAGGTGCCCTTGAATAACCGCGTTAATAACTTAACTGCAGTGATTCACTTAACAGCTGTGGCAAGGAAGGTTGTAAAATGAGGCAAAAGGCACTTAACAATCGTCTCGCTTCAGCAATGGAAATTTGGGGGTCTGTTATGGCCATACATCGAGGAGCGTAACGACCCGAACACGCCTCCCATCCACCCGTTAGCCACCGACTAGCCACCGCCAGCTGCCTTTCAAGCCTTACGCAGAGGTGATGGCCCGATAGCGCTCCTGGCCTGCCGTGTCCCAGATCTGGGCCTTTATCGTCTTCCCATCCACCTGGATGCTTCTGGTGGCAAACTCCACCCCAATGGTGCTTTTGCTCTCCAGGTTGAACTCATTCCGTGTGAAACGGGATAAGAGGTTGCTCTTCCCCACGCCGGAGTCTCCGATCAGCACCACTGCCAGGGCAGGAGAAGACAACACTCCATCAGTATTCATTCATCCATCACCTGGAAATGGGAGGGAGGGAGGGAGGGAGGGAAGGAAGGAAGGAAGGAAGGAAGGAAGGGCAAAGGGCGCCATTGGCAAATCGCACACAAAATGACAATGTGGTTAAGAGGAAGCCTTCAAACTGTTGTTGAATGTCCTGCTTTCCTGCTCCTTCCTCTCCCTTTCAATGGCTGATTGCTACCTTTTCTAGTCGACTTCTCCTCCATGCCATCCCAAATTTCCTTCAGTCAAGCTCAATTACTAGGGACTCCCAGGAGATTCCCTGTTCTTGGCACCAGTACAGAAGTGATTTTTGGATGCCTTTTCCCAAGATGCTTCAACTTTCCATTGCTCTGCATTTCTTAGTGGTCTCTCATCCAAATACTAATCAGATCCACATAAGCATCAATGCAAATGTGTTAAAACATTATCCCTCTTTATTATTTTCATAAATAACGACGGAGAACACACCAAATCCTCTTTCCTCCTTTTGAGAGAGAGCAACTAGACCCAAGTCACCCAGCCGGCTTTCAAGGCTAAAGCAGAACTAGAACTCACCCTCTCCTAGTTTCTAGCCTGGTGCTTTAACCACTGGACCCAACTGGTACTCCTTGCATTACACGGGCAACAGTCTGCACAGAAATCCCAGCCTGCCATACAATTATGCCTCCCGCATCCACTTATTAACTTAGCAGGTAAAAAGATTCATCTTCTCTGATTTTCTTTTAGTTTCCAACTGTGACTTTCTGTGCCCCTTCTCACTTTCTACTTGCTTTCTGCAAGTTTGCAGAGATTTGTTTTTTTTTCTTTGAAGACATTTCACTTCTCATCCAAGAAGCTTTTTCAGCTCTGACAGGATAGTGGGGAATGGAAGGAATCTATATTCCTTGCAGACACTGATCCTTTGCATTATTTGAGGACGCTTGGAGGTTCACTTGTGTCCTGGGTAGTGACCTGAGTAGTCACCTGCTTTCTGCAGTGGCTTTCCACACAGCTTAAACAAATAACCCTAAAGAGAAGTAAGCAGCAACATCCATTCTCCCCCACCCTCCATCAGAACTGATGAAGCTTCTTAGATGAGAAGAGGAAAAAAAATTCTTCTTCCTCAAGGACAAAAAACAGTTTCAGTTGCCTTTTTTTAAAGAAAAAAAACAACTTTGAGACATGAGAGTCGGCTGCTCTTTATTTGTAGACAACTTTCCACAGGAATCGGCAAATATGCCTAAAACACTGGACTCCACGGGGCTGTAGGAGTGGGTTTTTTTATTTGCTGAATTTCATTTCTAGCTTAAGTTACCTCTTCACGCTAACAAGGTCAGAGAACCAAAGCCTAAATTTGGAGCCTAAGATCCATCTATTCTCTAGGCCAGTTCTATGATGCTAATTGCAACTCAATTTGAGGTACCTTTGCAACTCAGGGTTGAAATGAGGGGTCCTTGGTGCTCTCTGAGCTTGCTTGTTTTCTTGTAGACAAGGTCTACAAGACTAACTAGGTCTAATGAACTCATGATATGTCTGCAAGAGGACCACCAAGCTCAGGAAGCACCAAGGACCCCTCAACTCAAATGTGATTGGATTATTACTGCAACCCAATGCTGGTAGCCTCTGGATCACAAAACCCCCAAATACGCCCACAGGAAATAATCAACTTTCTTTCTCTGACAACCTCCCACCTCTTCTTTTAAGCCCAGCCAGCACTAATGTGAGCATCACATAAGCTTATCAATGGCTCTGTTGTTACACATCATGGGATACACACACACACACACACACACACAGAGCCAAGAAAGCAAGGGGACAACAAAGATCTATAGAAAGCGTCCACCACATTTTTGACTGAGAAGACTCTTGAAATACAGAACAAGAGTTGGAGATCTTCTAGTCCATGCTTAAGACCATTCCAGACCAACAGCTGTTTTCTGAAAAGTGATGGAAACTCGCCATTTCTGGAAGGAAGCAAGTCCTTCCACTGATTAAAGAAGAGGGATTGCCCAGTATTATAATTATAGGCCGTCCATCTCCCTATCAAGCCACTCTGAGTGGCTTCCAACATCGTAAAATAGCAGTATAACACCACCCGAACATTAAAAAAAAAACATTCAGAACACAGGTGGTTAAACATTAAAGCGCTAAAAGGAAGATTGACTACCAGAGGGGAGCACAGTAGGCACAACGGCAGAAGTCCACCCATCTTCTGAAATGTAATAATACTAATAATTGTCTATGGAGATTCTCAGTCATCCAGGTCATGGTTGTCCCAAAGGCGCTTTTTCAAGAGGCAGCTGGACTTTTTCTTTCAAGACGTTTCGCTTCTTCAGCTTTGACAGGATGAGAAGCAAAACGTCTTTAAAGAAAAACCAGAAAGTGCAGTTGCCTCTTGAAAAAACACCATTGGGACAATACTAATCATTGTTAACAACTTATACTTTTGCAGTATTTTATTCAAATTATGTATGCATGCTGCATAGTTTTATCCTTCTGAACACCCTAAGTCGCCCAGAGTTACAGAGTTATTTTACCCTGTGGCAAGATGGGTGACTAACACATTTAATAAAATAAATAATAATTCATTACATTCATTATTGCCACAGATTCCCTGGTGGCTTTGACCCCCGTCCGATGCACCAAAACCCAAAGGAAGACCCTCCTAAGCATCCCCATTGGCTTCTCAAATCCAGTAATGATTAACAATGTATACTTTTACAGTACTTTATTCCAATTATACATACATTTTTGCATACTTTTATCCTTTTGAACCGCCCAAAGTCACAGAGTTACTTTAAGCTCATGGAAAGCCGGGGTTAAAAATGGAATAAAATGAATAATAATGAAATAATAATTCATCAGATTCATAACTGCCACCTCTTCCCAGCGACCCTGGGAGGGTTTGGTCCCCACCACCACCTATCAAACCCAAACGAAAAAGCAACCCACCCACCCACCCCCATTTTTAAGCAGGGCTGGCTTGAAATGGTGCTCCGCGCATTTTCTCCATTATTTTTTGTTATTTTAGTTATCTTTCACTCAAGTTTTATTTATTTATATTTGGAATACAGTGTATTATCCAGGCATCCCATTTTACAAACAAAAAGAAAAAAAGAAATAACATATATACTGATAGCAATAGTAGTAGTACAACAGAATGATTCTAACCATATTTATAATTATATTAACTTATTTGTAATCCTATTGGTCATATTAGTATATAGTTAACTTATACATAACAATGCTCTTTCTTCATCTAATTTCTACCTCTTATTTCTAACCACTCATAAAACCTATTCCACATTAAGTAATACTCCGCATCTCCTTTATCTTTTATTTTCAATGTCAATCTATCCATCTCTGCCGAATCTTTTCCGAATTATATCTTCATCCGATGGGGCGTTCTCCGTTTTCCAATATTGTGGAAATACAATTCTCGCTGCCGTCACTACACGTAATATGAAATATATATAGTCCCTTTATCGTAGCTTTCTGGTATTACACCTGACGAAAATATTTCTGGTTTCAAAATCCATATGCCGCTTAAATCGTCTTTTCCAACCATGTATATATTTTCATCCTTGCTTTCATACACGTCCACCACATAGGATAATAAGTACCTGGGGTTTGGTTACACTTCCAACGTTTGTGGGACAGATTGTTAAAATATAAAATTAAAATATGAAATATTTTTTGTTATTTTAGAGGGGGGCTTTATCCAAGACTCTTAAGTGGGGGTTGGGGGGGGGGGGTCCAACCGGGCCCTTCGGGGGGGGGGGGGGGAAGGGCAACCCCTTCCCCAGGTGAGGGAGGGGCATACGGGGG